ACCTTCGAACACCTGGGCCCTGGATTACAAATTTAGCCCTGGCTTAGCGCTAATCGACCTTCGAACACCTGGGCCCTGGATTACAAATTTAGCCCTGGCTTAGCGCTAATCGACCTTCGAACACCTGGGCCCTGGATTACAAATTTAGCCCTGGCTTAGCGCTAATCGACCTTCGAACACCTGGGCCCTGGATTACAAATTTAGCCCTGGCTTAGCGCTAATCGACCTTCGAACACCTGGGCCCTGGATTACAAATTTAGCCCTGGCTTAGCGCTAATCGACCTTCGAACACCTGGGCCCTGGATTACAAATTTAGCCCTGGCTTAGCGCTAATCGACCTTCGAACACCTGGGCCCTGGATTACAAATTTAGCCCTGGCTTAGCGCTAATCGACCTTCGAACACCTGGGCCCTGGATTACAAATTTAGCCCTGGCTTAGCGCTAATCGACCTTCGAACACCTGGGCCCTGGATTACAAATTTAGCCCTGGCTTAGCGCTAATCGACCTTCGAACACCTGGGCCCTGGATTACAAATTTAGCCCTGGCTTAGCGCTAATCGACCTTCGAACACCTGGGCCCTGGATTACAAATTTAGCCCTGGCTTAGCGCTAATCGACCTTCGAACACCTGGGCCCTGGATTACAAATTTAGCCCTGGCTTAGCGCTAATCGACCTTCGAACACCTGGGCCCTGGATTACAAATTTAGCCCTGGCTTAGCGCTAATCGACCTTCGAACACCTGGGCCCTGGATTACAAATTTAGCCCTGGCTTAGCGCTAATCGACCTTCGAACACCTGGGCCCTGGATTACAAATTTAGCCCTGGCTTAGCGCTAATCGACCTTCGAACACCTGGGCCCTGGATTACAAATTTAGCCCTGGCTTAGCGCTAATCGACCTTCGAACACCTGGGCCCTGGATTACAAATTTAGCCCTGGCTTAGCGCTAATCGACCTTCGAACAACTGGGCCCTGGAGGTCGTTGGGAGAGTGACTGACCTTGACAAATGTTGAGAGGGAAGACATTACAACTTACTTTGCTGCTTGGAAATGTGCTCTGGAAGGGATCCATAGCAAAAGGATCTGATTTGGCTGGTGAAGATGATAAACCTAAAACGCAGAAAGAGAGGTTAATTGAAAGCAGCTGTCATAGCACTTTCAGCAAACAGTCGTGAAAACACCCCTCTTTATAGCTCTCCCCCATTATACTTGAGACGGCCAAGTTAAATCTGAAGATCTAAAAACACACTTCGCTAAATAAGTGGGTGAATCTAGCACCCTGAGGCAAACAACCAGTGGGCGTGGTAGTCCAAAGGGCAGATAAAGCTATCCAGCGGATTTTTGTAAACGAAACGCACTGTGCCGGATAGAGATTAATCTTGTGGATGGCGTTCTATACCCTTCGAACAACCGGGGCCTGGAGTCTTTCACCCTGCAGATTTCTGTTTTAACAGAAATAACCACCTAAGAGTTACTATGCCTTTCGTGAAGCGATAAGGTGTGATGATACAGATGATACACACAGGTCAGTTTAGGTCAGTAATTGGGAGAATCTTCATCTCATGCTTGACAAAAAAAAAAAAAGGAGATTTTCCTTCATAATGATAACAAATTATGGCCCGATAGTTAGTAACCCTTTCATACCCAAGATCTCATTTGTAATTCTCCTTACAGTCTGCCATGTAATTCTTATGATGTTGGTTCAGAGAATTAGGTAGTGGATCAACTTATAATCCCCTAACTGATATTTTTCTTTATTCTCATCACTTGTCTGCTTGATATTGTATTGATAATGTAAGGAGAAATTCCGTCTTGGTCACTCATGGGAGTTAGAAGGTGAAGTTAGGATAATCTGTTGCCGACTCACCATTGCTTATTCCTGCACCAGACCCATTAGCTTCTGCACTGGCTGGAAGATCACTTTTAAAAGGATCACCTTTGAACAAGTCTTCGCCCTGGGAAGAACGTGAATCCCAGTCTTGTCGAGCTTCAGTGTTCTAAGAATGAAATGTGTAAAACTGACGGAGTTTTAATCAAAAGGGTAGTGTATACGTCATGGTCTTACCTCAAACGGATCGCCTGGAAAAGGGTCCGCGAACGAAACGCTCTTGTAATGAAATGGGTCTGTTTTAAAAGGATCATCTACGTGGAAAGGATCGTTTGACTCTGAAAGAGAATAGGTACAAAAGCAATATTTGATTTAGTGTCGCAAGTAATCCAAAAGTAATCCGAGTAGGGATTGGTTATACTTTACTAAGCTCAATGATTGGTTTAGAAAACTCGTGCCACCCTCTAAACCAATCAGATATAACTAACCGTGACTTGATCTTTCCTGTTTCCCGCGCTTGAGGCCGGTCACATGCATCTAACTTGAAATTTCATTGGTTCTTTATGTTGTACACCGATGTACTGATTGGTTGATGTGGTAATTTTTAAATCAATCTCACCCTAACTACATCAGGTCAAACACGAAAACTTACTCGTTCGTAATAGTTACTTGATACAAAATATCCCCTATATCCAGCTCGAAAAATACTTGACAAAGTACGCCACAATAAGAGGTAAACAAATCGAAATGAAAGCTTGGCAATCGAAAATGTGGTAAAAGTTACAGTTTACCTGTTTCTGAAGAACTAAATAAATTTTCTTTACTCTTGAAAGGATCTGTATCCTAAGACAACAAATTTAGAAAAATGAAGCAAGTATGAACATTCGGCGTCGAAAACAGAGAGTTTAGAGAAACATAGGAAATCTTTGGTAAACTTCATAAATTAGAAACAAGGAACCTACCTTAAAATCATCTACAGCTTCATCTACTCGACCAGATCCAACACTAAAGCCGCTTATGCTGCTCACAGGACTGCTGCCAGCCTAAACAAAAAAGAAACTTCAACCTTTTCATTCCTAGAGGCCAGGTGTGGAGCGGCATGTCACCATCTAAGGTTTGAGTTTTTGTAGGATATACTATATGCTATGACCATGAAAATGAAACCTCTTCGACAGCCTTACATCCCCATGATTCCATTTATTATTCAGTATCTACCACAGCAACTTTTAAACTATTTTTCAATTTTGATATTTGACACTCTTGAGAGTTATTTAATTAAGTATGGCTGCTATCCTTCATCTGGTTTTTGTACCAAATAGAGTACCATTCAATTATCAGTGCGCTGTAACCAATCACAGCCTGGACCTTGCCTCAGGCGACCAATCAAATGAAAACATTGAGCACGTGATTTTGTTTTTCCCGCCTTTACTTTCACGTTCATACTTACAGTCGCTCTGACGCTCATGGCATCGGCTTCTGAGGGAGTTGGCGTCATGTCAAACGCATCTGACAGGGGTGCAAAATCTGGAATGGACGCTGGACCACTGGACAAACTCTGGGAGTTCATCAACGAATTGTAATGTGCAATATTGGCGTTTAGGCTACTATTTGTTTCTTCAAGTGTTGAAACCTTTGATCTGACCTAGAAAATAAATATTCGTAATTTAAATCTTTTCTCAACTCATGAAGTAAAACAGACTTGAGATATGTGAGAGAGAGTGCTTGAAATGCAGTAAATGGTTTGAACCCGGGGGTAACATGTGAAGGTGTAGTGTGATGGTCCGGGTGAGTGTAGTCCTGAGAAGGACTGTTGTCGGTGGTAGTGACTGACGTTTCGACAACCTGTGAGGAAGTCATCATCAGAGTCAAGTGAATGATTGTTCTACTGACAACAATCATTCACTTGACTCTGATGATGACTTCCGCACAGGTTGTCGAAACGTCAGTCACTACCACCGACAACAGTCCTTCTCAGGACTACACTCACCCGGACGATCAGACTACACCTTCACATGTTACCCCCGGGTTCAAACCATTTACTGCATTAATAATTTTTTGTTCAGATTTTAATTAGCTAACCGGAAACACAGCTAAGCTTTCTCTTAGCGCTTGCTGGAGGTCGTCTACGAACTTAACGTTCTCTGCAACCTTGGCCCTATTGTGAACGATTTTACTACAAAGCGAAGATTAGATTTTGGCGCGCACAGAAAACAGAAAGCTACGTAGGCGAAAGTGCCAGTTGCTCGACATACCTGCGTGGCCCGTGCGACGAAATAACTTCACGGGATTGGCAAAGTTTCAGTCATAGCAAATTACGCAAAAAATCTAGAAAGATTTAAGCTTAAATGTCGTTTAACGTTTAAAGCGACATATCAATGACTTCAACCATCGTGTTGTATAAAAACCTCGCAAACTTTAAAACACGTTCTCTCGTGATACCTGCGAAAGTATTCAGTATAATTTCCTGTAAAATTTTCACGGACAATCTGATCGATCTCTCTTACATTGTGTGCTGAGACTGAAACTTTTCACCTCAAGCAAATCACCGTTGCACGGTCCAAACAATCATAGCGAGCAACTGAGCGCATAGATGTCCGTGTTAAAACACACGAAAGGTTTCTAAAGTACACGTTACTCTGATTGGGCAGAAAAACACAAAGATTTCCTGGCACCAATCAGATGGCAGAACGACTGCGACCGTTTGGAACTAGTTTTGTAAGACAATGTCCCCACGGGCTCTTCATGCCCCAACTTGAAATCGACTCAGCCCCTGGGTCTTTGAGAATGGGTTCGGTTGTAGACTTATACAAGATCTCTTACGCAAAGTGTTTCAACGGAGTGGGAATAGAGAAATCCCGAGATACGCTTTGTAAACAATTATTATCGTCCA